TCAGCAGCAGCTGACTTGGGGAAGCTTGGGGTTCTTAAGTTGAATCTGTATGTAAGTCATTGAAACTGATCAGTTTCAGCAGCGGCTGAATCTGGATGCCAGTTCCGACTTACATACAGATTCAACTTAAGAACAAACCTACAGTCCCTATCTTGTACGTAACCCGGGGACTGCCTGTAACTACGAGTGTGTCTACACAGCAATTCCATTATTTCAAAATAATTTTGAAATAATGGATGGCTTATTCCGACTTCTGTAAACCTCATTTCACAAAGAATAACACTTACTCCAAAATAGCAATTTCAAAATAAGGCATGTGCAGACACGCCATTTCTGCTATTTTGAAATAGCCCCTCACAAGGGATATTCTATGTTATTCCTGTTTGGGCTCTAAATCGACATAGCATGTCTACATTAGGGAAGCCTGCCTTGGACTAATTTTGAAGCTTCCTTGCAGCATAGATGTGCCATTTAGAAATAAGCTATTTCAGAATAACTACTCCAGAATAACTGTGCAGTGTAGACGTAACCAAAGAGTAGAAAACAGCACAGAAAGGATTCTTACTTTAGAGTAAGATTGCCTCTAGGTACAATTCATACAGTAAATATGATCAGTTTCTAGCTGGACAACAATCCCAAACGCAGCTATGTTTTTTGGTTCCAGTTCTACTACATTTGTACATTGTTTGAACATATTGATTTGTTTGTTTCACTTGCCATCTGCCCCTGTTCCTATTAGGGTATGTCTACACTACCCTGCTAGTTTGAACTAGCGGGGGTAATGTAGTCATCCGCAATTGCAAATGAAGCCCGGGATTTGAATTTCCCGGGCTTCATTTGCATGAAGCCGGCCGGCGCCATTTTCTCTCTCTCCACATATCTGTTTTTTTCAGCTTCTCAGGATCAGATGAGCCAGCATAGACTATGCTGATTTTACTGCTCCTTCTCTGCCCTGTATGCTTCAGAGAGGCAAATAAGATGGATGATATGGGGGGTTGGTCTGTCTGGCTACAGTGCCACGTGGCTACACGCGGCACGAAATAGCTAGTTCAGATTAGGCTTCCTATCCGAGCTAGCTGTAGCCGCACGGCACACAGTCTGAACTAGCTGGCATTAAAAGTGGCGCCGGCCGGCTTCATGCAAATGAAGCCCGGGAAATTCAAATCCCGGGCTTCATTTGCAATTGCGGATGACTACATTACTCCTGCTAGTTCAAACTAGCGGGGTAGTGTAGACATACCCTTAGATACCTTTGATCATTACCACAAACTTAATTATAAACTTACCCTACAAAATAAAAACCTCTCTCAGAATACTCCAAACCGTCAACTTGCTAGTTATGTCAATCTTCATAACACAAAAAGCCAGTTACTTCAACAAGAGGAAGATTTTCCTGGCTTAGCCTTTTCTGCCAAATGGCTTTAGCAGATGTATTTTTTTTCTTTAATTTGGCTGGATAGGTGAAGGTCTTTTTCCGTTAGATACTCATACAGCCCTCATCACTACGGTTTTTGAGAATCTCAGAAAATTAACAATGAAAACAAACAAAATTCTCTTTCCTCTTCATATACAGTAGCAGCTTGAACGGTAGCAGAATTCTAAAGGTTTTTTTTGTATTGTTTTCTCCTTTTCTTTCACCCTTGCTTCCCTCTCTGACAAAACTGCGAGAAACAAGTAGGATCAGCATTTGGTTCTGAGCTCAGTTATGCTCAGGAACACTCTTTGCTTTTGAGAGACTGAGCTCCGTGGGAAGATAAGAGGGATGTTCCAGTGGTCAAAGTGCTAGTTTGGGACATGGCTGCAAGACCCAGGTTCAGTTTCCAGATCAAAGGCTATGTTTACACTAGAGAGCTTATAGCAGCACAGTTGTACTGATGCAGCCACATTTCTGTAAGATCTTCCACGTAGCTGCTTTATGTCGAATGGAGAGAGCTTTCCCATCAACAACATCATTAAACCACCCCCAAAAAGCCGCAGTAGCTATAGTGGTGGGAGACGCTCTCTTGCTGACGTATACTGTGCATGCTACCACTTAAGCTGACATAATTTATTTTGTGCTGGGAAGTGTTTTTTTCATGTACCAAGCAACATAAATTTTTCTGACATAAGTGGTAATGTAGAAATGGCCTAAACATGGTTTCCTGTGTTTCCTAGCACAATTCATCTGTTATGTCTACACTGCACTAAACATGTATTCTTAACTTGGCTGAAAGCTACAAGGAAGATACATTGACTTGGTTTATAACTCAGGTTAGCAGTTTGAGTTCAATCTCAGGATTCCCTATAGACTGTGGCTTTTCGCTCTTGCTAAATTGCTGTGTTTTCATGGGTATTTTAACTCAAGTTAAGAACCCTTATTTTTGCAATGTAGACACTCCCAAAGTCCCTGGGCCTCAGTCCTCCCTCTGTAAAAGGGGGATAATGCTTCTTTACCTCAAAGGGGAGCTGTAAGGATAAAGAGGGTGAGGCTCTGTTACTATAATAGGGGCCATATAAATACCACAGATAAATGGGCTAGGTCCAGCTCCTGTGAAAGTTAAGAACCATAAATCGAATGCTGAGGGCAGCTCCAGATGGTGCCTGTACTCCTTGTAGTTGCGAGGAGTAAGGGAAGCCAAGAGCATTTACTCCCATCGGTCTCCCTCTGTGAAGACAGCCAAGCTTGGGTTAAGGTAAGCTGACTCCAGCTATGAATTTTACATAGCTGGAGCTGTGCACCTTAACTCATTCTTCCAGCTCTCGTGTAGACCTGGCCGTAGGATATATCTAGACTGCAACCCTCTGTCGACAGAGGGATGCAGATCAGGCAGGTCGACAATGCAAATTAAGTGGGGGATTTAAATATCCCACACCTAATTTGCATAAAAAAGGCTTTCTTTCTCGACAGATCCCCCTCTAGACTGCCGCTTTTTGCTGACAAAGTGCTGAGTTGGTGGCCATTTTTATGCAAATGAGATGCAGGATATTTAAATCCTTGCATCATTTGCAATGTCGACCTGCCTAATCTGCATCCCTCTGCCAACAGAGGGATGCAGTCTAGAAATACCCTTAGTAATTATTTTTGAAAATAGAGTTGATTAACAGGAGTCAGAAAAAAACAGATTGAAAATATATAGCTCTGTTGGCATTCACTAACCTTTTAACCATTTGTTTGCTGCAGCAAGCATTGCATCTCGCTGGACCCTGTAGAATTCCACTACCCTGAAATAGATATAAAAATGATCACCCTACCTAAAACCACAGATGGTTAGGTATAAATAACTTTGTACAACAGTCATATGACTATTACAGAACTGTGCAGAAAATGTTATGTTGTCCAGTGCTGCAGGAACTTTGGGCAACATTGCTTCATCTCCCTATGATGCTACTAAACCAGGTGCCAGCTCTTGCCAAGTCGGTAGGTGTCAATTGAGCATGGACAAACTCACAGCTGAAAACCAAACTAATCCACCTGTTTTGTTGAAAATAAATATAAGTATGTATTTAGTGTTTAGACTAAGAAATGCTTATAAGTGGCAACGTGCATTAATCCAACTTGTAATGCCCATACCATATGAAAGTATGTACATTTTGTTTTATAACTTTGAAAATACATCCTCTGAGTTTGTGAACCCAGGCACAGGAATCATCCCCCCTTCCCTCAACCCCTCCTCCCCACTGCATGCATGTATAATGCATGCCAAGATTAAATGGGCCATTAAGGAACACCATAATACAAAGGACTGGTGAATAGCTCTATCATTAGGGTCTGACAAATCCACAGATATCCGCTTTATATCCATGGGTATCCGCATCTGTGGATACATGCAGCTCATTATTGTGGATATGGATACAAACTTTGTATCTAGAATCCTGCAAATTTGTGGAGATCCATTTTACATCCACTGGTATATGCATCCACTGGTGTCAAAGCAGATATCTGCGGCTCATTTTTGTGGATGCAAATTTCATATCTGCACAGGGCTCTATCTAGCATAACTTGAAACTGCTTATGTGCACGGGAGATATCTCATGGACTGGAAGGCTAAGTGTAAAAGACTAAGTGGGATAAAAGGAAAACTTAATTTCTTTGGTGTTTGAAAACACAGGGGCTAGAGATGCTAAATTAGATCCTCATGGCCTACACCTGGGTCTGCCCTGAAAAACATTTTGAACTGACAGATAACTACATCTGTCAACTTTAGGAATTATAGCTGGCAACTCATCTGTATATATGTTTGCTTGCTTTAACCTGTAAATAGCTCCTATTTTCTTTTCCTACAAAATAAACCTTCAGTTAATTTATTACAGGATTGGCTATAGGCAGGGCTCGACAAATATGAAATCTACTTGCTTGTGGCGAGTAGATTGCAACCTGGAAGAGCCGGGTTCACACGATCTGCACATGCGGGTTCGGCGAGCCCTGGCTATAGGCACTGTCTTCAGTGTGAGATGTAAGGCACAAATTGATCTGAGGTATGTTATGGATCTACTGGGATTGGCAGCAACCCTGAGTATTTGGTGTGGGTTTTTTTGGTATGTTTGTAAGTAATTCTTTATCACGAAGTCCAAATTGTTCGGGTGACAAGATAAACTGGAGACTATGAATGTCAGAGTATAACTGAAAAACCATTTAACTGATAAACTGATGCTTATCGGTTAATAGTCTCAGGCTGTGTCTACACTATGGGGTTTTTCCGGGATACCAACGATATCCCGGAAAAACTCTGCTACATCCAGGGAACGTGTCTGCTCTTCTGCTTTTTTCTGCGGAAGAGCAGATACGCTCTTTCGGAAGCCCTGTCGTCTTCCTCTCACAAGGAAGACGGGCTCTTCTGAAATAGGAGGCTTTTCCAAAATTGGCCCATTGTAGACAGGCCAAATTTTTGAAAATCCTCTTCTGAAAAAACGATCAGAAAATTTGCGTACCTTTTCCTGACAGATCCCTGTACTGTAGACATAGCCTCAGTTATACTAAGCCAGCTCCCAGAGAGGCAGCTTTGCCGTGGCAGGGCAGCAAAGCCACCTCCCAGAGAGCTGAGCGGGCAAGGGCTGGTGGCAAGTTTCTCTCTAAGTGGTGCAGCAGCATGGCCTTGCAGCTACTTAATGAGCCCTGCCTAGGGGCTCAGGGCTGCTGAACACAGAGCTGCCTGGCTCGGGGAAGGGCACATCTCCCTTGCTTACAGCAGCATCTCCCACACTCACTGCTCTGTACTCAGCACCAAGCTGTAGCTGTAGCTGAGGGAGAAGTGCCCCTCTCGCAGTCAGGTAGCTCCGTGTGGGGTTCCTCTGGGCAGGGCTCATTAAGCAGCTGCGAGCTGTGCTGCCACCCCGCTTAGAGGGATCCCTGGCTGGCAGCTCTGCTCCTGGGGGGCTTCGCTGCAGGCTCTGCAATAAAAAAGCTAAGTTTTACACCACAAGTAACCGTGTAACCGCTGAAAATCTCACCCTCATACATGATTTTTAACATCTCTACTGGAGACCCCATTGGGGCTGCCTGTGACTCCATGTAAAGTGATCTAGGAGTTCATAATTGTTATTGGGTTAGTGAAATCTAATTACAGAACATGCCACCAGTTTGGGGTATTTGCTCCGAGACAGGCATTCACAGTTGTGAGCCACTCCAGACAGCACAACAATCCCTGTAAACATTATACTCAGAGGCATGACAGTAATTAAAAGAGACCCAAACCCCACAATATAGTATATTGAATGCAAGTGGATTACCTGTCTACATGCTCCAGAAAACCCTTTTCTCCCCACTGCTGAAGAAGCTGTGCAATCATAAGCTACAGAAATAAATCACACAGTAAACCCCGTTATTTAAAAAAGGAGTCAGGTCCCAAGCAAGCTTTTAAAATATTAAACATCCCTCAAGGGCAGAGGTCAAATCACTGGATACCCGGAGCCACTTCTTCCTTCACCTTCAACCCCCTCGGTAAGTACAAAAAGTCCACCAATAACAGGCAAAGGGCCATTAGAAAGCCTGCACTATAGGTGTCTCATGGGAAAATAGAAATATTAGGAAGAAGACAAATGCGGAAATTTGGAAAGGGAGGAACATGCTAGGGGATGTCAAATAGGACTAATTGACTATCCAACAAGCAAACGCTTATCTGATAGTCGATAGGGTAGTCGACTAGTCACTTCCCTGACTTGCTGCCTCTATCAGAAAGTAACTGAAGTGTAACTGAGGAGCTCAAAAGAAAGTCCAATGTAAGCTCTGGGTAGACCCTTACAGTTGACTGTACTGGAGGGAAGGGCAGTGTTCAAGAATGGGACAATGGTGATGTAGACTCTGGGGAGGGGCATATCTCATTCTATCCCAACTCACCATCTGAGCACTGCCTGAAAAGGAAGGGGCAATGAATAGCAGGCTACTTACACAGCACAAGCAGAGTTCACCAGCAAGCCACGCTGACCTACAGGCACAGCATCAAATAACAATTCTAAATACTCTCCATTTATTCTGCAGCTTTTCAGGTTGGGATTTTCCAAGGAGCCTGAGGCCTTAGACACACAGTTCACATTAACCTTTAACTCCATTAAATCTTAATAACCTATTACATAAAAGTAAAGGGAATCTTATTGAAACACCCTCCAGGAAAAACTTAGTCTTCCTCTTTGCAGTCTTCTTCTCTTGGAAGATTGTGCAGTATAAATCTTCCTGAAACCCATAGTGGAAAAATGACCAGGGATTATAAAAGTCCTTTGTCTCTTCTCTCAGTTCCTAGGTTAAAGAAACCATGTTTTTAACATACATGATTTGGGCAATGCTCTCCCATTATCCAAGACAGTACTTGCCTGTGTGAAAGTGCTGGTATGCAATGTTGATACCTGTATATGTAGAATAACTCTGTCAATGAGTGGTTTGGGGCCTGTTAAAAAGCCTATTCTCAATCTAGAGGGAAAGGGAAAAAAAATCATTACTACAGACATCTACAGTTCACAATACTTGAAATGATATCAGCAGGATATCTGAGCCAAAATATGGCTAGAGTCCAAACAGCAATTATGTAAAACTGGAACCTTAACAGATCTGTTCCATGTGGGTATTCAGAGTCACATCTGCTAATCTGACAGACCAAAACCAAATGCTTTTATAGTGTTACTAACCCTATGCATTCAAAAATTGTGACTTATGACCAAGAAATCCTAAAGACTGTCTTAATACAGGCTGGACATCCCTGGTCTGGTACCCTTGGAACCAGAGTAGTTCCGAAGGAGGGATTTTGACAGACAAGGGGAAGTCATTTCTGGCCCCTCTGCCACCGGCACCCCCAGCCCAGTTCTGATCTTGGCCAGCTCCCAACCCGCCACCAGTCCCACTATCCTGCCACAGCAACCTGCGGTCCCAATACAGTGGCTATCAGCCCCACTACAGCAGACTGCCGTTTCACTGGAGCCTGCCGGTGTTCTAGACGCCCTGTTACCGGCTCAGTCAGACTCCCGTGGCAGGGCTGTAAAGCCACTGGCCTCCTTACAGTCAGCTTGTCTGGGTTCCCAGCCAGTGTTCGCTCTAAGCTGCACGGCAGCACAGCTTCACAGGTGGTAAATGAGCCCTGCTCAGTCAGAGGCTCAAGGCTCCGTGCAAGGAGCTGACTGACTGGATGGGGCTGATAAATCACCTGTGCAGCTGTGCTACTGCACAGCTTAGAGGGAACACTATTTCTGGCCCACACAGGGTTCCTGCCTCTGGCTCTCCAGTCCAGCAACATCCATGGTCCTGCCAGACTATGGATCTTGTCAGACCAGGGAGTCCCAGTTGAGAGAGGTTCAACCTGTAGCCATGAGATTATTTAAAAAATATGCCTTCAATTATTTTAATCTGACCAGTATTTTCTGAGCTTTTAGTGCACACCCTGGTCATACTTTGAAACTTTTCTCTGCAATCATAACAACTAGGAAAGTATAAGCAAGCTGGGATTCTCACAATGCCTGTAGTTTATAATGGTTGAGTCTATCAGACACCAAAAGGCATGAAGACTGCACCACGGGGTTTATTATTTTTACTTCCTTGTGGAACTGATATTAAATAAAGAAAGGAGAATGAATAGGATTGTTTTTGTATTCATAAACTAAAAAAAGCTTCATTCATGATGCCAAAAACAAAACAAATCCCATCTTAACTCTGCTTCCAAGTGAAGTTTGCAATGAGAGGAAAATAAATAGAGTAAGTTTACACGTGTCTTTGAATGAGAACAATGGAACTCCATGTGCAACCCTATTTATGATCATACTAGCTTATTTCATTCGATTATAAAGGAGAGCTCTGTGATGGCGCGTTGGGGTTTTCCCATCTCCTGCACCCCCGTAATGGCACAAACAGACTCCACCAGCCAGTAGAATAGAGGTGTTTATTGCTTCTCCAAGATACAGCACAGCACAGATGTAATCTGGTTACAGGGCAGGCCTAGGATGTCTCAGCCCCTCTTGAGATGGGGAAGACTGGGCCCCTAAATTCCTTTCCTTAGGCTGTCTCCTCCATGCTCCCAGACAGAAAACTAACTCACTCATTTCTAGCCCTGCTCCCAGCCAGGGCTCCACTCCCCTTCTTCCGCTCCCTCAGAGATAACTCGTCAGACAGGTTTGAAGCCCCTTGCATAATGACTCAGCCAGTGGAGGTCACTCACAACCCAAGCCTAGCAACCAGCAAGGTACCCACACCACCTCACAAGCTTACAACATACGAACTGCTACGATTCATTAATGTAAGCTAGAGACAGAAAATCAGGACTGAGTGCATGGTGTTATGTGTTGAGAGGACAGCAGACTTACAAGCAAAAGATGGTGGTTGAAGGAAAGATGCACAATAACTGACTTCTTACTCTAACTCATGGTAACCCTCATTTTAATAGGAGTAAAGGGAAGTCAAAGGAAGAGTGTTCTTCCTTCAACTTCCTGCTGTATAGACAGCACCAAAAGTCAAATTAAGCTATTTCGACTTTAGCTACACAACTGATGTAGCACAAGTTGCACAGCTTAATTGGACTGTAGCCCTGCTGTGTAGACGTACCAAGAGAGAGTAGGAAATTAGCACATTGTGAGCAGCTAAAGATCTCAGTGCACTTTGCAACAGTGGGCAAGTCACTATCTGCATATTACAGCTGAGAAAAATCAAGGCACCGAGAAGTTGAGTGACTTGCCTATGGTCACAAAGTGAAGGTGCAAAGTTAGGACTAGAATCCTGTGTCTCTTGACTCCCCAGCCTGTGCTAACCAGAAGATAACAGTCTAAAGCTGACCTTACCCAGAGGAGAGAATTTTAGAGAAAGAGTCAGTCCTGATAACTCGACCATCCACATCCATTGAGAGGAAGGTTGGAGCCCAAGGCTTGAAGGAAAGAATGAGAGTTTAAAGTTCAAGTAGTTAATAAGTCTTACAGTAAGGTGCAATGTACTTATTACTAACACAGACTTCAGTAGTTCTTGAACCAAGGGGTGATATATCATATGATAGTCTTGGCTTTGGTGATGCACATTTAGTGACAAAGTCACTGCCTGACAAATTATTCTGTTTGGAGTAGCACCCTCTTGTGGTGCAATGACAGTGTGATCTGAAGGTCAGGAAAACCAGTCAGAAACCCTTCTCTAACCTCTTGGCTCTGCACATGCTAGGTGCTGGAGTTTCTAAGGGGTACTAAAACAGGAGGTCAGAACAAAATATCCAGTTCTCCAGTAACAACACTTTTACTGTGCGTAGGGGAAAATGTCCTTTGATGTTTTCCTCAGAGGCACTCCTCAACCTATAGTTTCCCTTTAGGCAAAAGCAGAAGGCATCCCTCAGAGTTGGGGATTTAGTAAGATCAACTTGCATAGTTCAGCACGGAATGTAACTCCTAGAGCAGACAATTATCTTTATCCCCAAACACTTATAAAAGAGTTCCATGTAGGCATTCAGTCCTGCTAGCCCAGGCCCATCAGACTCCTCCTCATCCCCTTCCGGACTTGCAAGACTTGTTCCAAAAAGAAAAAAATATTAAACTCTGCTCATTCCATCGACGTACTCAATAGCCAGTATTGGTGAAGGGAGTGATGTTACTCCCTCTGCAAAAATTGATTTTAAATTAGAAGTTATGTATTTAATTGAGGAACAGTTCACCTCTCCCCTTCACCCATATCCATGTGCTGGGAGATCCAGTTACATGTAGAGCTGAGCACTCCTCCCCCCGCCGGTGTGTAAGGCAGGGTGCGGCTGTGGCACTATTCTCCTTATTCCTGTGATCAATCTCCAGCAGTTGAGATTTGCTCAAGGAGCATGGGTGGAGACAGAATGGGCTGCATTGGATGAAGGCAGAGATCAGAAAGAAACGGCAATACAGCCTCTATTACTTTTCTCATGTACTGCAGCCCACTCTAACGGGAGACTGGCTAAAAGGAGTTCCTGCTAGCACAGCCCTAATGGAGTCAGTAAGAATTTTTCTCACTTAAAAACGGAAGAATTCGACCTACTGTAATTGACAGGAACTGATGCAACGTGATGGCTGAAGAGCCAGGTAACTGAAAATGTCATGACTGAGTGTTTACTAATAATGCTTTAATTTAATCTGACAGTCTACTAAATATGGGTAGTATGTAGTTTGAGCCACAATTGTACATGTATTAATTCTCTCCTGAATGAAAAGAAATACTGATATCATGCAGTATAAATGACAGCTTACCTTATCAAACTGAAGAAAATAGTAAGGATCATCTTCTATTACAAGGAAATTATATTGTCTTGCAAGCTAGAAAATAAATTAAAATGAAACGGTAAAAGTTTATTGAAACTGAATAGAAACAGTCACTATGTAATCCTAGCTACAGTAAAACTCCATTGGTCCGGCATCCAATGCTCCGGCACTCCTGATGGTCTGGCACCATCGGGAACCTGGAAGTGCTCCAGGCAGCCGGACAATTGGAGATGCTCTGCACCCGGCTTCCTGATTCAGCTGCTGCTGAAACTGACCAGCAGCCGAATTGGGGAAGCCGGGGCAGAGCAGCTGGGGTGCTGCCGGGTTGGTCCCATAGCGCCACCCCTCGGCGCTGCGGGACCAACCCGGCAGCACTCCAGCTGTTCTTCCCCAGGTATCCCCAAGATCAGCTGGGGTGCTGCCAGGTTGGTCCCGCAGCCTTGAGGGGCAGCGCTACGGGACCAACTGGGCAGCACCCCAGCTGCTCTGCCCCAGGCATCCCCAAGTCAGCCGCTGCTGAAACTGACCAGCAGTGGCTGAATCGGGGATGCCTGGGGCAGAGCAGCTGGGGTGCTGCCGGGTTGGTCCCATAGCGCCACCCCTCGGCGCTGCGGGACCAACCCGGCAGCACTCCAGCTGTTCTTCCCCAGGTATCCCCAAGATCAGCTGGGGTGCTGCCAGGTTGGTCCCGCAGCCTTGAGGGGCAGCGCTACGGGACCAACTGGGCAGCACCCCAGCTGCTCTGCCCCAGGCATCCCCAAGTCAGCCGCTGCTGAAACTGACCAGCAGTGGCTGAATCGGGGATGCCTGGGGCAGAGCCGGACTATCGGAAGGGAGGGGGGGTTATGAGGGGTCTGGAGTGGCATTCCTTCCACCCCAGACACCTCATAGCCCCCCCACTTCCGATAGTCCAGCATATCTGATAATCTGGCACCCCCTGGGTCCTAAAGGTGCTGGATTATCAGAAGTTTACTGTACTTATATTCATTGCTCTGTATGCCAGTCTCTGCTCTGTTGATTCAGCATACTAGGATTATATCAAGAGTCGCTTTCAAATGCTAATTTACCAAGTCATGTAATGGCAAGAGTACGTGAACAGGTAAATGTGGCTACAATAGGGCCAAACATTTCAAAAACTGAGAGCCAAGTTCCACATGCAATAATGTGCCCATACAGGCAGGCCCCAGGTTATGTACAAGATAGGGACTGTAGGTTTGTTCTTAAGTTGAATTTGTATGTAAGTCAGAACTGGCGTCCAGATTCAACCGCTGCTCAGCAGACCAGGGAGACGCGGAGCAGCTTTTCTCGCCCTGGAGGATGCGGGCAGCGGGATCGCGGCGCATCTGGGCGTCCCGCCACTCGCGTCCTCCGGGGCGAGAAAAGCCCCGTTCGTAACTGTGGATCCGACATAAGTCGGATCCGCGTAACTTGGGGACTGCCTGTATTTGAGCATGGTCTGTACTACTGCATGCAGAAATAAGCATATGCTGATTACCTGCAAGTCTGAATGGCACTTTTGGATACATTTGTATGCATAGACAAACACCTGTCAGAGATGGTCTAGATCAGTGGTTGACAACCTGCGGTCAGCAGATTGCATGCAGCATGTCAGCGTAAGACAGTGAAGGCCGCCAGACAGATTGTTCACCTTGCATCTGCTTGTATGGCAACCTGTAGCTCCTATTTTCTGCAGTTTGCCATTCCTGACCAATGGGAGCTGCAGGAAGTGGCCTCCACTTCAAATAGTTCCCATTGGCTGGGAATGGCAAACTGGGGCCACAAGGAGCTGTGTGGAGGCCATACCTGTGGAAGCAAGGTGAACAACCTGTTTGGTAGCCTACTAGCAGCTTGCCCTGATGAGCCATGTGCGGCCTGCAAATTGCAGGTTGCCCACAACTGGTTTAAATAGCACTTAAGTCTTGTCAGGAGTGCAGGGGACTAGACCAGATGACCTCTTGGGGACATTTCCAGTCCTATGATTCCAGGGACCTTAAATATTATGCTTTTAAAATAATGCACTTTGAATATTTTCTCTAGCCAAGTGGTTACTTAGAATGTCAGCTTAAGCAATTTCTATGCATGTTTCTTTTAAAAGATACACTGAGCCTAAGGGTTATAGTATACATTTTTTCCCCTGTGATAGAGAATTATTATAGAGAATTCCATAAAAATATGAGAGGAGTAAAAACTGTCCTGCGTCTCAATGGCCATGTGATCCTGAGAGCAACCGTCACTGTGTTGTCAAAGAGTACATCTGTTGCCTGTGGTCCTCAACTTCTACCTCATTAGAGTTGGTTTTTAATCTTGTCAGGACACTTCTTTAGACTTGTACAAGGGCTCAGTGAGTAAACATAACACGTAAGTCAACATAATGGTTGGTATGATTACATTGGACTACAATTTACTACCCACACCCAATAGATTAGCACAATCATGCAGGATAAACAAGAAGGGATTTGGGATAACTAGAGGACAGATTGATATGCTAATGTGGCATGATATTTTTAACAATATCTACCATTCAGTTGCTTGCAAGATGTGTTGGTATTATAGTGCAATTCCTCTAACTGAAAACCTCCCATTTTTACATTCCTTACAAGAAAACTGTGCCACCAGGCTCTAACTGCATACCTGGTATATCTCCTTTTTACGGTCAATTGTCAATGATGCTCCAGTGGGATTGCCACCATTTGGAATGGTGTACAGGAATTTGGGAGTGTTGTTGTATTTTCTGACATCTTCTGGGCTCCACCTGGAAAGAATTTCTTCCAGGGCTTTTGGAATAATACCATGTTGGTCACTGGGAACATTGATTATGTTGCAGCCTAATGGTTTTAGCTGTTGATTTATGGAAAAACAGAACAAAACAAAGAAAACAGGAGGTGAATCTCAATTACTGTCGGTAATTCTGAAATTAAGATTATGTCACTGATGTTACAGAACCTCAGCAATGCAGTGTCTTCACTTCCATCTAGATTTAACTGGCCAGTTTTAAATCAGTTGCATTGATTTCAAACTTGATTACCTCATGATTCAAGGGAAAGTTTCTCTGGACATACTGTATAACCCTCAGAACACAAGTTCATCAGATCACCTTGTATTGCCAATATTTAAATCCAGTTATATAGACTTTGATAAGGAACTAGGTCAGTCCAAGATAAATTATTATTATATGCCTGCCTATGAGAATCAGGCACATGGCATCACATCTGAAGGAGCCAAGAAAGTCATCATGGATTGTACACCAGTAGAATTTCTCACATTTCAACATTCCAATGAAAAAATACAGATGAGCCTGAGGTCTCTGAACAGGGCTATTTCATTTCTTATTTATAATTAGAATGCAGTTAGAGAGGAACTGGCAGAAATATAAGCTGCTCTCCCCTGGCAAAGGAAAGAAGAATAGGAATAAGAGATCAAGTAGGAATAAGAGATCCTCCGGAAAAGGCTTTATTTTCCGGAGAATAACCTCTAGACTGGCGCTTTTCTTCGGCTTATCTCCAAGCCGGAAAAAAGCGGCAGCCATGTTCATGCAAATACCGCGGGGGATATTTAAATCCCCCGCGGATTTACCTATTCCAAAGTGCTACATTAGCATCCCTTTTCCGGAAGGGATGCCAGTGTAGACACAGCCACAGGGTATTATGTTTAGCAGTGATTCAGAGATTTCAATAATGTTAGTGATAACCAGGGACAAATAGCAATGTGCAAAGTTACAGCAAAAATTAACAAAAGTCCCTGTAGTTTTATTTCTATAGAATTCCTATTTTGTACTCTTTAGCTCTGTATTTATCAGGCTATAAATGGACTGTTATTGAAACAATAAAACCTTCAATAAGTGTATGGTCCCACAGCATAATCAAATAAAAAATATAGCATACCACATAGTACTACTCAGATCATTTTTTGGAATCTGGTAAAGCTGAAATATTAAGCAATGCAGGATTTATTCCAGCATTTCCCCAATCTGTATCTATTAAGCATTACAGGGCTATATTGAATTCAACAGGTGCATATTACTCCATGAAAGCTAGTGTCATTTAAGAGTTACTTCTCTGACTTGCTCTCATTGTCTCATATGCTGGGAGATCACTTGCATATACGTTCCAGGCCCGTCCCCATTTTATCCAATTACAGACACAGAGCACTAAATCAGGTCATTAAATAATTAAGACGGGCACATTCAGAACCTAAAACATGAGGAAACTCACTGATCATATACTTGCATTTAGACTGACTTGAATCAGAAAGATTTCTTCTCTTCTCCGTATTATGATTCTATGTAGAAATCTAGGCTTATGGTGAAGTAGGCCCCAGGAATAAAAGACTGTGTCATGGGGCAAACATTTGCTAAGTGTCTAAATTAGCATTTACAACTGTATTAGTTCACCACTGCAAATTAATATAAGTCGAAATTCAATAAAAAACTCTAGTCTGAATGACAAGTTAGATGTATTTAGCAACAGTGAGATGCAACCCATACTTCATAAGAATGTATTATGTCCCAAGTTGGTGATTGTTGTAATTTTCACAACTTTTCATAGTTAAACACTACTCACAGCAGCTAGAGTTCCAGGATAAGTGGGTGCATCCAAAAGGATGTTGTCTCCAGGGTTAATAAGCATCTCAAACACCTACAAAATGGAAATGATTTACTTTACAAAACAGTACCATTTTACTACACATTCTGCATATTGCTCAAGGATGTTAAAATGTGGTTAATTGACTAGTTGATGAAATTTCCATCGATTAGTCAATAGGCACTTCCGCTGGGGCTCTTGTACATTTCAAAGGAGGAATGCGGAACTCCATGTACAGCCTAGGACCAGCGGGAAGTCCCGCTGACTCTGGGCTCCATGCAGCTTTCCTGCTTTGAAATGCACAAGAGTCCCCAGCAGGGTCTCTTGTGCATTTCAAAGCCGTGGAGCCTGGAGTTAGTGGGGGATTCACAGTCCCTCACTAGTCCTGGGCTCCATGCAATGCTGCATGCTGCTAGGAGCCTGGGGTCAGCTGGGGACTCCGCAGTTGACCCTGGGTTCTCTGGCACTTCCCCGGAACTTGGGGTCAGCTCTCCAGCTGACCTCGGGTTCCGGGGAAGTGCTGCGCTGAGCCCGGGATCAACTGGGAGTCCCCAGCTGACCCCGGGCTCCCCTGCACCTCTGAAAGGCGCAGAGGCAGCAGTTTCAAAGGGGCAGCCGCTGCACAGCTAAGATCAGCTGGGGATTGATCCCAGATTCTGGGGAAATGCCGCAGGGAGCCTGAGGTCAGCTGGGAAGCCCCCAGCTGACCCCAGGCTCCACGGCTGCCCCTCTGAAATTCCAAGGCGACGTTTCAAAGGGACAGTCCACAGCACAGCTGATCCACGAACATTCTGTCGTATTACAAAAGAAGTTTCAGTTATAGAAAGGGTTAACTAGCCAGGGGTGGTACGGTAAGTATCTGTAAGAAGAACAGTCAATCAAAAACTAATTTACTTGGAACAATATCCTACTGCAAACCTATCTTAACTCTAATTCAATTACAATATTACATTCTTTTACTAAACTCTTAGAATCCTTTGCTACAGGATTATTAAAGAAAATGTCTTATGATACTCTCTCTTTTCACTAATAAAGATCCTAGAAAATTTTGTGAAATCATGGGAGACGATTAAGCATGACAAAGTTTTGCCCCAACTTCCAGTAACTTTCTCAGATATGGTACTTAATATATCATTTCCTTAACAAGCCACTCTTAATAACTGTAATCCTTGAGCAGGTATACTTTTCCTATGCAATGAAACGAAATTCAAGTGACTGAAAGTAAACTTCTATTTAAAGCAACAGGTAAATTACATTTAACAGAAGCCAGAATGTATTCTGGTTTTAGTCTTACTTTAGACAAGCCTTCCTGGCTGCCTGTGGTAACACATATCTCCATTTGGCCCTGTTCAGGACTGTAGTTGGCAGTGGGAGGACTGTGGAGACTCTTCTGTAAATCCTTTAGCCAGGACAATAATTCAGGAATTCTGAAACACAGATTTTCTTGCTCATCATTATAATCTTGATTTACAACTTACTACTGTACTGCTGTTTTAAATCTCTCTCAAATTTAGCGTAAATTGCCACCCAAATTGTTTCTCTGTTACTCTGCCCCAGGGACTCAAGAGCAGCTGGGGTGCTGCTGGGTTGGTCCTGCAGCCCCGAGGAGCGGTGCTATGGGACCTTACTACTGTACTGCTGTTTTAAATCTCTCTCAAATTTAGCGTAAATTGCCACCCAAATTGTTTCTCTGTTACTCTGCCCCAGGCTTCCCCGATTCAGCGGGGTGCTGCTGGGTTGGGCCTGCCGCCCCCAGGAGCG